GAACTCACAACCCTGGGTTTAGCAGGCCAATGCTCAAACCACTGAGCTATCCCTCCCCCCAAAGTTCCTTGCATCTTCCTCAACAGTCCATGAAAGGATACTGGGCTCGATGGACCATTAATCTGATATTGTATGGCAGTTTCTATGTCTTATCATATCCTTGGCCTCTAATGAAAAGGAGTTCAGTGCCACTTTTGGAGGCAGATATCAAGTCCATTAGGACCTGGATTGAGAACCTAATTTCTTAACTTTGACAGTATGTGAAGCAGGTCTCATTAAAAAGGAACTGATGATGGCAAAAGTAGTAGTGTAAAAGACAATTTTAAAACAATATAATGTATTTCATCCTTTCATCAATCAAGTAAAATAAAAAGGATGTCTCAACTAGATATATTAATCAATTCAATCCAAGCTATTCTCCAGCCAGACTCGCCCCCACCTCTCCAAAACAGTGTCAAAATAGGGGAGTTGTAGGATATTTTCAGACTCTGGAACATCATTATAGTTGGCTAATGCAATTAGTTTTAAGTTTTATTCTCTCTCTTTCCCCCACCCCCACCCCCGGGCAAAGAAAAACATCACTGGCTATAGGGCAGTTTTGTATGGCAAAAGGCTCAATCTCAGGCACTAGAGAAGACAAGAAATGCCAAAAGAAAATGTTTAAAAAGTGAAAAGAACCCCCATTGTGTCTGTAGAAAACTGCATTTAAGCAGAAAGTTTGTTATGATCTTAAAAACAGACTTCAGAGTCAAATAAGGATTTTAAATTTGAATAGGACTCCCAGCTGGGATCAAGTTCGTCTACTTAAACAGTTATTGGGAGCTATCTTAGAAGTTAATGAATCAGTTTCACTACTGGTTTATGCTGATTTCAGCTGGCATACCCCAATGTACAGAAAATGGAATGTCTGATTGGTACAAGTTATAGTGGCAAAAAGCAGCCTCAAACTTCCTTGTAAGGCAGGATTGTTTGCAAAGAGGGAGGCAGGAGCACAAAAATGTGGGCACAGGAAGTCAGTACAGCTGGAAAGTGGATGCTGCTACCTCAGAAGAAGGCATGGTTGGGATGTACACCAACTCAGTGAATCCCCTCTGAAGCTGCAAACTAAAACATTGCCTCCTCTGGAAAAAAACATGAGAAAGAGCACCAAAAGAAGCCACCGAGGTGAGTCGAGCACAGGGGCTTTGATAATGCAGAGAGGTGTAATCCGTACCTAGCTGCTGTGGAATAAAATCTGGTTATAAAATGAATATTGAGCTAATATGTTGGAGTAGCTGTTCTTCAGAAAAATGGCCACAATTCCATAAAATATAGCCTCAATTTTCTTCACTGCAGATTTACAAACCCATGGAGGTTGAAACGACTAGAGTGCTACAGTTCAACAGAAGCGAGCCCCTCAACAGCTCCAAATAACTGAACGCTGACAACCAACTTCTTTCTTGTGAAGCTCCTTAATTCTGCAGAAGTGAAGTTGCAGAGAAACTCCACTCCAGCAGAGATCTCTATTGGCAGCCCCAGACAACATGAAGCTTTTGTGTATTCAGAGAACTTAAGAACAACGAGTGGGTTTACTGTGTTCAACCTTTTAACTCAATCCATGTACTGGAAGTTATATACTAGTTATTTTGAAAATGAAATGGGAACTCAGTTAATTCCATATTTCAAGTAGAACCACTAGACACTGGTCAGAAGGAGAGGGCTGACCTCTATGTACAGAGCTAGAGGAGGTGAAGCGCTTCTCTTGAATAGTGTATACCTGGAAATCCCCCTTAGAGAGGTATAAACTGCTAATTCAGGGAGCAGTGTATTCATTCTGGAAATTATTAACAACTTTAGGTCCGTCAAACCACTCAGCTATCATTAATAAAATGTCTGTCTTTTGACTGAGTCAGAAATTAAGTTCCATGATCATAGTCACAGATATAAAGTGGCCAGAGCAGGGGTTGTCATATTCAGCCCTCAAGCTGGGCTGTTTTTTTAATAAAAGAGGCGATAACGTTATAAAAATGGACGAAGAAATTAATACAATTCAGATATTCACATCTGTAGTCTCCTACCCAGTCATTTATCTATGCTAACTATCTCTTCTACCCAAAGGAGAGGATATAAAGAGAACAGTTACTCCCCCTTTCCTCATCCATTAAACTGAAGGGTAAGCCAAGCCAACAGCACACTTGTTTTTGAAAAGGTGTCATTTTGGGGACCTGCAAGACAATAATACACAGAGAGAACAAATCTCTCTGATCCAATTCAGTTTCACATGTATTAGGCCTAAAGGTTGTACAGTCAGTGGATTATTCAACCAGTAGCTAAGACAGGATTGCCATTTGCTTTCCAGTTATTATTACACCATCCTGACAGATCATAAGGGTTGGAGGTAGCTGTATCCCAACAATGATCAACTGCAAAAAGTGTATATAGAATCCAGTATGATTCCAGTATGGAAGCAAAGGCAACTTACTTCTCCAGTATCGATGCATCACCTGTAATCAGAGGTTAGTATTTCTCACTACATGAAGTTTTTTTAATGTTATCACAGAAAAGTCTGTTCTGATCTGGACTGGAATAACCAAATCAGTGGGGACAGATCCACATCTGGAAGGCGAAACATCCACATCATCTCTGGTTGAGTTTCAGCCAACTTCCATCACATACTCTTGATGTGCTGGGGGAACTTCAGGTTGTTTGCAAGTTGGACACATGTCCCTCATGGCTAGCAAGATCAAGTAGGCAAACACTGTGTTTGCTGTTGGCAGTGTGTGTTAATTCTTTCTAATGGAGGGCAAGATGCCAGTGTTTCTCATATGAGCAATAATTAGGCTACTGATAACCATCCCTTCATTTAAACACTTACTACCACCTTGTCTCAAATATGCCTTTTCTGGATAAAGTTATTGAGCATTCAGTAATGAGACAGTATGTGAAGTCTTCAGATTTTCTTTGTTCCCTGTCAATACAATTTCTGATTGGATATATTTGGCTCACTCTTTGATTGCCCTCTAGTGATGGAAGCAACAATTTCAAAAGCTGTCTGGGTGGGCAGATAAGATCACTGAAGCAGTTCTGAAGCAGTTCTGCTCTTTCAGAGAAATACCAGATGGTGATGTTGGTTTGCTGGTCCAATGGCTTTCCAGAGGAATTCTGCAGGTCCAATTGCTTTCTAGAGGAATTTATATTGAGGTGCTACATGTACACTGGTGAAATGCAACTATTTTTTTCATTGCAGGCAGACTGGGTGCTCTCTTTGCTTTTCCAGTGCCTGGCTGAGACAGTGACTTGGATGACAGCAAGCTGGCAAAGCTGAATCCAGACAGCAATGAGGTGGCTATTCATTGCAGAGAAGCTTCTAGAGCAGCTGACGGGCATGGTATTTTGCCCCTGAATTTGTTCATCCTAAACAAGGGGGTTTGCAATTTATGGGTACTTTTTTGAGCCCCAGATGGTACACTGGCCAAAAGTGTCTTTTCTCAACCGCACCTAAAACAACTGTAATCACTTTTCAGTTTTACACAACTTCACAATTATTCATACCTTTGTGACCTACAGAATGGATCAGCATAATGTTCTCAATATTCTCACTTGGAAGTTTCAGCTGGTATAGATTGCAAAGGCCTGACTGCCTACTACGGTTGGCCACAGACACTACATCAGTGCTCCATAGACTGTGTTAGCTTCCCGTTCACTTCCAGGCCCAATTCAAAGTGAAGAGTTCTCTCTTAGAAGGCATATATGGTTTGGCTCTTAACCACCTGAGACCATTTCTTTAGTTATGCACTACCATGGCAATTGACATCAGCTGACAAGCTTGTTAAGCATCCCTATAGCTGCTGGCAGAAT